CCCTACCCGAGTAGTGTTAGGAAGTCTGTCCGCCACCAATCGGCACATACATACGCGCCGCAACATCGATATCGACATCAACAGCCGCCGGTGGGGGTCCGACAAGATCTCGATACGGATGCGGCGTAATGTTGGGCCAGGCGAGTCATCGCATCAAACTTGTTCATGCGGTGGGTGCCTTGCAGGGTATCACAAAACCAGCCCAGCCGCGTTTGCAAACCGTCTGCGCAGCGGAGAAAAGGGGAAGCTCGTGTGTGCGATGCTTGATGATACCATCAACAAGCAAAAGAACAGTGGGGTTTTAGATAGAGTTGATGCATCCAAAGTTGATATGTAGAGAGGGACGACCATGCATGCAAGACAGACCTACGTCACGTTGTTTCCCCGTGTAACATCGACGTCTGCGCGCACGGAGGACTGGCATGAATCTCCGAGTGATATGACAGTGCTGCTACAAATCAAGTGACTCATTAATATCGATGGCTCACAACCCTTTCAAGGATCTTGCTTGCAAAGTATCGTCGCTGCGCCTGAGCGCCAAGCCCCCCAAAAGCAGGTTTGCAAGCTGCAACCGTCTGCATCGCCAGCCGAAAATCACAACACCCCCCTCGCCGCCCATCAACACAAGGCTGCACCCCCAAAAACCAAAGGGCAAAAATACTCTCCCTCCTCGTCATCAACTTTCCGCCGCGCATACACACGCAGCAGCGCACTCAAAGCGTGTGCCTCTCCTGCCCGCCCTTAATCTCAGCATTCACCACGCGACGCACAGCCCGCTCGCACAGCAACAAAAAAAAGACCTACCGAATGCTAAAACCCGGTCCACCTGCCCTTTACTAGCTTCTTGCAACCTTAGTGCTCCCATAACTCGCTCGCTCCGGCTGTCCTGGCGCGAAGGCGTTTAACCCGCCGCCAAACCCTCCCAAGACTTCGCTTTCGCGTTATCCCTGAACCCCACCCCATCCCGCACGCACACTATCTCACGCGTATTCACAACAAACCTCGCGAATCGCGATAAAAGCCCCAGCCCCCGCGAAACGCAAAAACAACCACGCGATCTTTTATCACAACCCTATTCCACCTCGCCAAATTCATCGTGTTCCGAGCTATCTGAACCCATGCATCCTCCGACACCCAAACGCACTCCGTCTCCGTCTCACGAGGACGATGATTCGTCGTCTGCTCATCAGCACAAGCGTCAACGCACCGATGACGGCTCTTCTGCTTCACTACCGCGAAATCGTTCCCCCGCCCCACTGACCCCTCCAAGATCGTTGCAAACCTCGCCTGTTCCTGATTCGCCGGCACCTCTAAAGTCCGGCGCGAACTTTGATTGCCTGCCGCAAGAGATAAAGCAGAAAATTATTCTCAACTTTGTCGATTCAATCTTGCCCCACCTTTCCCGGATTGGCGACTACAGATGGGTCGGACCTGATCCCCGAGTGTTAAACGGAAATCTCCGACAGCTTCTCAATCGTCGCAGAATTCTCACCCTCTACTCAACTGTCAGCCGATTCTGGTATACCTGTCTGCAGCATTTACTGCTACAGGGCCCGCGTGTGGTCGTCAGCGCGGGTGAGTTGAGTAAGTGGGCCGGCAACGAGCACCAGATTCCGGGAAAGGTGGTCTTAAGGTCCGCTTGCAACCATGAGTCCAATTATAATGCGTGGCAACTGGAATGTCGGCCGCGCGATGCCTGGCAGCCTCAAAGAGAGAAGATAAAGAGGTTTGCCGCTGCGGAAGTCACCGAGATCATTTGTTGGATGACTTCCCTCCCATGGAGGAATGACAACAGCGAAGCCCTGCAGAGGTGGCCGCGCTGGTACCTGTTGGATTGTATGCGTTATGATCTCGAGGATATGAAGGTCAAGAAGTTGGCCGTCATCGCCGGGCATCAAGGTAGACATCTTCGGTTTCTTGCTCTTCTGATCTAACCTGTCCATCAGCAACTCTAGCCGATACTCTGAATTCCACTATTCCCAACTCATCGCGCATCACTCATCTGCACTTTGAAGTTCATCACCCAGCTTGCTTGGTCCGGCCATCGGATGACAAATTTGAGAATATTTATCGCCATTGCCCCGATTCGCGGCATCTCTGTCCGCGACTGTTCATGCACAGAGATACGCTAGAATCACTCACGCTCCGAAATGTCGCTGTGTGTGCGTCACTCGAGCCAAGCGCGTTTCCAAAGCTGAAGAATCTCCGGCTCTTCTGGGTCAACAATTGGCCTGGTTTATGCCGTGATCACTATAACGACCCGATGACGCCGTACTATAGCAACTCGGCGAGATTTGAGGTCGATGCTTTCCGCTGGGAGATGGCCAAACTTCTCTATATCAAACCGCAGGCGAGGGTCCTCGCATGTGTGGCGTATGACATTCTGGCGCAGAACGGCGAGTGGATTTCCGAACACCGCCTGCTGGTCGATTCCAGCTCCAGTACGTACCAGGAACAGCAGGAAAGCACATACTGGGACTGGCTCACTGCAGGCTCGCTTCTTTCGATTCCCGTGGATGACGAGGAGGATTTTAGTGAATATGAGCACGATTGGGTAGACGATGAGGAAGAAGAGGAGGAGGTTCCAGAAGAGCAGGAGAACGGAACGGTCCGGGCGACGCCACGCGTCGTCGCTGGCAGCGAACGAAAAATAGCTCCAGCGCCACCGCGGATTGTGACACCGGCGTATAGGCCGATGAAGATTCGGTAGCTGAGGGTGGGGGTATTTGATTGTTCTGATGGGTATGCGTTGTGCGGATGGAGTTGTGGCGTGTAGGTGTTTGAGTTTTCCTGCGATTTCTGCTCCTTTTTTCCTTGCAGGCTTGCTGTTAGTCGACGGTGCTTAGCGATTGTGGTGGCGGCGGGAACCTGTCTTGGTCCTTTGTCCTGTGTACGGGGGTGCACTTGCCCAGCGTCGAAGTGTCGAGACTCGAGTATTGTTGCGTACCTGCAATAGGGTTGTGGCTTTTCACTGCTTTCAGTGCTCAGACGGCGATGCAATTCGGGCAGTCAGTGACGAGAGAGTGTCAGAAACATGCATCGGAAATAGGCATCGTGGGTGGTCTGTCAAAACTGAGCGCAGCAGATAGCACCGGTAGGCTCGGGAAGCGACAAGGCAAAGTCGGCGGCCTCCGTTGAGATGAGATGTGCATCCCCTCAGTTAGGATGGACGCAGGAGTGGCGGGTGACACGCTGTTGCATACATACACACCTAGGCGCATACATACAGACCCTTCTTCTTCCTAGCTACTGGTCAACTCATAAGTCCCGCAAGCCTCCCTCTCTGTCTCTCTTCCTCTCTTTCTCAAGCTTTGAAAGCTACCAATTCGTGTTATCCCCTTACAAACTGCCTATTCTTGACCTTATTGACCCTATCGAACTCAATGGCACATATCGAGCGAATCGACGAATCCAAGGCCCAGGAAACCTTCGGAACCTCCTGCGTCGGTAAGGAAAATGAGCACGTGTCCCCTTCATCCGCAACCAACAAAATGACTCACCCTGTGGGTCTATAAAATAGACCTGATCAGCTCGGCGCTCGGCGGCCAAGTGCTCTCCTTCACCGACCAATTTTTTGCCGACGCCGCAAACCTCATCAATCCGGCAGCACCGATCCGGAAGCCCGGGTACTTTGTCGAGACGGGAGCGTGGTACGACGGCTGGGAGACGCGGCGGCACAATCGCGAGCCTGCAGACTGGGTGATCGTCAAGCTCGGGGTGCCATCGGGGAAAGTGCACGGTGTAGAAATCGACACAGCGTTCTTTAGCGGGAACCACGCGCCGGCAGTCAGTGTAGAGGGCGTATTCCTGGAGGGCCGGAACAGGATACCGTGTGGGAGACGATTCTTCCTCGGCAGGAGTGCGGGCCTAGTCAGCGCCGTGTGGCGGTTGCCAGAGCCTACCAAAGATGCCTGTTCCCACGTCAGACTGAACATGTACCCCGACGGTGGAATCGCCAGGTTCAGATTGTTTGGAACCGTCGTGCCCGTCTTCCCCACTGATCCGGAGAGCATCATCGATCTGGCGCATGTGGCGAATGGTGGTCTCGCCGTCAGCTGCTCTGACCAGCACTTTGGCACCAGGCACAATCTGCTCCTTCCTGGCAGGGGGAATAATATGGGCGGCGGTTAAGTAGTCGTGTTGCGGGCCATGTCGACTGGACTGTTGTCAAGCTGGTTTGCCACCCACCCCCATCCTCGTCCAGGAGTCGCGCTGACGAGCCGGATGCTCAGGGATCCAAGGGTTACATCGAAGAGGTAATCGCGAACACGCTACACTTCCGCGGGAACTTCCCGCAGGCAATTGAGGTGTATGCAATCAATCGCGACGAGCATGAAGATGCACGCTGGGAACTGATTGTGCCCAGGTCGCTGGCGCAAAGGATACGGAACATGCGTTCCCGTCCACGATGCTGCAGAACACCCAGGACAAGATGGTGAGCCATGTGAAGCTGGTTATCATCCCCGATGGTGGCGTAAAGAGGTTGAGAGTGTTTGGGAAGAGAGCGCTGAAGGCGTAGTCTACAAGTAGTGTGATATCAAGGTGCAACACCACAGAAGATCCAACGGCACAAGGCGTTAAATGACATAGCACTAGCACCGAATCTGCGGACTGGGTAGGGCGAATTGCCCTGCCGGGTACGGGATTTGTGAGATCGCTATGGAGCCTGAGTGGACAGCGGACCTAGAGGCTGTGTGCCCGGGGGTGTCCAAGGCGACAGGTTACCGTTGTGTGGTCGTTGAGTGATCGTTAGGTGGCAATCCTCAACTCCATGAACTTCTTCTCGGTCTGTGTCCCCTCGTTTTGCCTTGGCCAAGTCGCAAGAATGCCCTGCTTCGCCTAGGGTTTCCGGGCCTTGACTTTTTGAGGGGAATAGAATACTTCAAAATTTACAATCGTGGCCGTAAAACGCAGTGGCCATCCACACCTTCCAAAAAAACACCACTATCAACAAAAATAGACCCTAGAAACAAGGCAAAAAATTTTGGCCTTAAGAACAGAGGTCTCACTGGGAGTCGAACCCAGGTCCCCGGAAGATCTTTAGCACGATCAAAATCCGATGTGCTAACCGTTACACCATGTGACCTTGTTGAACTTTTCCTTGCTTTTTTTCATCGTATCGCACTATTCATGCAAAGATCCAATTCATAAGGGAGCAAATTTGGGGCTTTGATCTGCGAAGATGGACGCTGGGTGATTCTTTCATGGGTGAGGGGTGTTTTGACAGTACGAGTGTAACTGCGGATGGCAAGGGAGAACAGACAGGGGTTATTTTCACAGTACAGCACTCTCACCTCCTCCTTCAAGCAATGTATGGGTCTCTTCTCATAACTGAGTCTCTGTGGTAATCTCAGCCGCTTCGACCACATGATATGTAGTACGACTGGAAACCGCACTCTCCAATGGATCTATCTGCTCTACCTTGGTTCTAAAGCACATTCAACCCCAACCAAACTGCTCGCAGTGCAGGGTGATACTTGGTCCCGTAAGCGTAATGTTATCAGCCAGTCCGCAAGCCCCCACGGCTACTACATCGTTCGGCTGCGCGCCCTTCGCAATCGTGCCCACGATCGCGGTGATGTCTGGGCGGCCGGGCTTAGAGTTCACTTTGACGCGGGCCCGGGTGCTGGCGCTGAGCTTGATTTCTTTTGCGAGGCCGGCTTCGAGGTCTTTTTCTTTTGCGGCGGCGGCGGCTAGGTCCTTGCCGGATGCGAGTGACGAGGCGGTATACGAAGCTTGATGATGATGATGATGATGATGATGATGATGATGATGATGATGATGATGATGATGTGCGTCTTGTTCCAGGTAGAGAGAGCGTCGGGCTTCTGCTTCTTGCTCGGTCTTTCCTTCGAGCGTTTGGCTGGTTGCGATTGGATCCGTGGAGGACGTGATGTAGACGCTCATGTTGACGATGGCCGAATGCTTCAGCGCTTCCAGCTCGTCTTCGTACCAGGTTAATTGTCCTTTCAGGTAGGTCTGTTAGATGATGATGGGTGATGGCGATGCATGGGGGGGCTTACTCTCGTCCTTGATCACCCAGATAGCCTCGACCTGCGTAACCGTGCACCTTCCGGCATTTCTGGCAATGTCCATAGCGATGGGAAACAAAAACGCAGCACCACTTCCTCCCGCAAAAAGTACGAGCTTGTTCACGAGCTTGAAGTCCGGCACAGCGCCATACGGCCCGTCAATCGCGGCTCTCAGCACCGAGCGCGGGTGTTGGATGGAGTAGGTGTGCAGATCGAAGGTGAAGCCCGTCTGCGCGCGGACCACAAACTCGACGTTCGACGCCGACGAAATCGTGAACGGATGTGACTGGAACCATCGGATGGCTGGGATGCGGACAAAAGCGTGCGATCCCGGCGTGAAACTCATAGGTTTGTTGAAGACCAGCTTCGTCGCCAGACCCGGAAGGGGGGTGATGGTGACCGTGGTGTTCCAGCTATAGTAAAGGCTACGGAGTGTACGCAGCAGCCGGTCAAAGCACCAAAACGCTCCAATAGCATACAGTATCTGGTTGTATTTCTCTGGATGGTGAAGGCCGAGAAACACTACTACAAGCACAAACATGGTGAGGTGGATTATTTAAAAGCACTCGTAGAAACGCTTGCGGAAATACTGGAAGGACGATAGCATGATAATGTTGAATGCCGAATATGCAATGAACCCGTTCACTTGCGGGTGCTTCCGTAAAGCCTCTAGGCCGCTTGATCTCGTTAGAGTGATGGAATATGTTCTATGACCATTAACAAAGCGGTCCCACATGCTACACCTCCCACTGGGCAGCTCACATCGAATGTATACTGGCAAAGAACCACGTGGTACGGCCTACCCAACGGTGTAGAACGTTGAGTCTTTCGTGAGAGTACCCCGTCAAAAACGCCAGCGGTGAATTCATCATGGAAAGAAAAAAAGCCAGAACTAGGTTGCAAAGTGCCATCCTAGGTAACGTCAGACAGTACCTCCTGAAGAGCTACCCCACGCAAACACATACCACCCAGCTCTTTTGGTGAATAGAGAATACGGGCTTGCTCCCGAGAAGCTCATGTCCCAGAACTGAAACACGGCATTCAAGCCAAGATATACAAGAACAAGCAACAAGTGGCCGCCGGATGTGAATTTGGCTATCTTCCGAAGGAATACTCGGCGGTATGCTCTGTGGGAACCGTGAGACATGGCACCGAAACTAACTAACAGCAGAAGGAATCCAATGACATACCTAAATGGGGCCGCAATCACTTTTCCTAATGTCCCACGGGAGCTGAGACGAAGTTGTAGATACGTCCTTCCGAAGTGCATCAAGGTAAACAACAGGATAAGACCGGCGAAGGAATAGGCAAAGAGGCTTGCCATATACACACACTTCGCCGTCAATAAGGAAGAACGTTTCGGGCCTGAGGCCATATCGGATCCAACCGTGACTACTGGAGTAGTAGTAAGAAAAGTTTGTTAGTTGAATGGACAAGAAGGGGGCAAGCTTTTCGTATTATACTAAACTTTTCCATCAGACTTGTCTGCTACCAAGTACATGGTTGCGTGCATTGTAGTATGATTGTACTGTCCATAAACTGAGCAAGATAGTACCTCAACAGCGAAAAAATGGAATCGATAACCCAGCTTTCAAGTAGTATAGCGTGAGTACCGCGGAAGGGTGCTCCGGTTGCCGAAAATTTCATGGCAGACAATGCCACTCCCCCGGGGTGAAAGCAAATGAACTCACCACCATGTCCCCCCGCAACTCCTTGAGGCCCGCCGTGCCTAACGAGTCACCCGAGTCGTAGGTTCCGATTCGGGACGCTGCACATTGCAGGCTAGGTCACGCCCAAGTCCTCCGGCATTTGTCAGTGATTTCAAAGACCAAGTTGAAGTATTACGACAATTGACGGGGGGGGGGGGCAATATAGCACTGTATCGTTCCCGACTCAACTTGAAAGCCTGCCGGCTGGCCGAGGGAAAAGTATACAGAAACGTCTGCATCAAGACCACTTCAGGAGGGTATAGTCGTACAACTGTGCCTAGACATCTGCTTACGTGCAACGTGCAGTGGCCCACGGAAATATTAGAGGACCTCAGAATTGAAAAGAATTGGTCGATCCATAGAACGAAATAGCCGCTAGAAGCGCACAATTCTTTCTCCTCCTAACAGAATGGGCCTAGAGACCTCTTCTCGTGATAAGCAAGCCCCGAAAACAGCGACAGATGCTCATGGCTGGACTCGCTGCGGTAATTTGGGTGACGGCGTGGAGGCAGGCGTCGTGGGAGTGAGCTAAACCACTCCAGGACCGAGACTTGGCTACTGAAGTTGAGGGCTTTCATGATAAAGCCAATTGGGTATAGGCGCGGATGGAGTTAAGCATTGATGTTGGATGAATTCTACTAGTAATCTTGCTGATATTACTGTGCATAGCAGGAGTTGAGCTGACAGGTATCCTGAATCCTGGGCGGAGAAACGGTGCGACGGAACGGCTTCAGCATAAAGGGACCCCCAGATATTAATTGCGGGTGACGCTATCCTCTTCGGTACCAAACACACAAGAGATTACCGCTTGCGCAAGAGTTTGTGGTCGAACTGCGGTAGAACTTGGAGTATGTAGAGGATGAGAGGATACCTGGGTATGTTTGCCCCAGATCGGGCTAGCTAGAGGACGGTAAATTGCATGCATGCTCTCAGCGCCTGCACGCGTGGGATGTGAGGGGTCCACAGTAGGTATGTAAATGCTATAATGCCAGTTCCAACGCCCGGTCACTGCAAAGACAACGTCACTCACGCTACGTTAGTTGGGGATATCAAATGCATTGTTGATGCTTTTTGCAAACTCTTTATGCGCCATTTACGTTTCTGTATGCATTCAAAAACGTACATACATATATCTCGCAGTGTCAAAGGCCCCTCGCCCTCATTATAATCTCTTTCCACTTTTAACAATGCAGGGGATACATACATTTCCAAAGCGTGGTAACCTCAAGAGCTGGGAGAGGGAGGGGAGGCTTAAGAGGGGTCGCCCTACAACATCCTTTCTGGCTTCCTTCATGCCATCAGCAGCATCATCACAATCAAACAACGCTTCGCTGCTGGCCAGCACTCGGAACGCAGGTGCATACCTAGGTACATAAGGGAATGGAAAATAAATTTTGAAAAACTAAGAGACAAAAGTGACAGTAGAGGGGGTAATTTTCAACATCAGGACCCACACCTGACGATGTTTTACGACAGTGGTGCACACAACGTCACTCGGCTGGCCCTGTGACTTAGCGTGGATGGATTACAACAAACGTTACTCACTGACGTCCTTCACGCATAACTCGGATCTATTGATTCGCATCTTTTTTACCCATTATCCTTCGTTTTTACGTACTGTAGCAAGCAACGTCACCTGTGACCTGGAGGTCTCCGTCCATTGTTTTCCGCTGTCACCAGGGGTCGTCCGATGTGTTAGAACTGTCCCCTAAAGGGATGACCAGTTTTTGTGGGAACGGCCAGTTCTGGATCGGATGTTGCAATTGATGAACTGGAACGTTTCAGAAGCGGGCATCCACTTTGGCTGGCAGCCTGAGAAGCGGGCGCCGGCCCCCGCCAATTTTTTCTATAGTTAACCTCGCAGTACCAGCCACTATCACCTACGTTGATTAAAAGCATCACCAGATCCCACACATGAACGCCGCAAGATTAAATAACAAACAGGATGCAACCTCAGACGACACAACCAGAACCGTTAAAATGCGGGAGGAAAAAGCCCAGAAGCCCACCCCCGTTCAAACCCCATCAGGCTCAGCATGCCTCTCGATCCTCTTCACAAAAGAATCGAGTTCTCCAACAGGACGTGGTTTTTGTTTTTTGTTTTAATCATCCTGTATTCGGCCGCTTGCGGCCATGACAAGGGGGCTATATACACAGATCTACCCTTGAACCTCAAGTGTGAGGCAAAAAGGAAAGACAAAGGGAAATACAAAGGGAAAGACATCAATTTATAATCATTCTTGTGGCTTCTCCGGCCACTTGCCCACTTGCGTGCTCCCTAGAAAACCAAGGACGGCCTCGGTGCACCTTGCATCTGCCAGAATTCTGGCTACAGGAGTGGAGGT